TATGGTGTGTTCTGTTGTGTGTACTGTGTGTGTGTGTGTGTGTGTGTGTGTGTGTGTGAGTGTGTGATCGGACAGGTGCCTGGTTGTCTGCTAAGTTTCAGAGTAAAAGGTTCAGACCAACAGTGCGGATAATCAGAAGTTAAGCCACACCTCCAGACACCTTGGACCCCCCCCCCCCCCCAACACCCCCTCCCTTTCCTTCAGAAGGTCCAGAGCAGCCAAACAGGCTGCCAGGGCTGGAAACCAGTAGACACTTGGGGTCATTCTGCCAGTGAAGGCGGACGGTGCCTGCTATGGAAACCTGTCCCTACCCAGTCTGGAAACCGGCCCCACTGGCTGGGAGAGGGGGCAGGGTGCTGGGGCAGGCGGCTCCACTGGGGCTGGGCCCTGCCCTCTCCCAGAGAATGTGGGCACCTTGGCACTCCTGCGGAAGGGAGTGTGGGCCTCACTCATCTTCCCCCTGAGGCTCGGAATTTAGGGTGACCAGGGAGGGAGGGTTTCAGGAGGGTCTATCAGCTGGAGATGGGGCCTGGCTGCCCCACCACATAGTCCTCCTCCAGGGACCCCCCCTCCCACACACACACTCCAGCAGCCCTGGGCCTGACCTCCAGGCATGAACCCCTCCCTATACACTCTCTCTGCCTTCCTGGTGGGGCACGTTGAGGCCATCCAGAAGGGATCCTTGTGTGCCTTCAGAGTCTGTCCTGCTTTCCTGCCTGAGCACCCGAGGTGTAGCAAGGGTGGCAGTCACCTTGGAGGTCAAGTAGATCTGGAGCCATCGGGGTTTTTTTGGCAGAGCCAGGATGGAACCACAGCCTGACACATGCACAGCCTCCTCATGGGGTCCCTCAGAGGCATCATGGTGTGCCAGTTCTAGACAGGGGTGTGGAAAGCTTTATCTCCCCATCATCAGGGCAAGTGAACTTTGGCACTTGTACTCTTTCCCAGACTTTTCAGTCTGTGAGCTTCAGCAAGAAATACCTTTTATGGGGGCTGGAGAGGTAATATAGCAGGTGGGGTGCCTGCCTTGCCCATGGCCAACCTGGTTCAAGCCCCTGCAGGAGTGATCCCTGAGCAAAGAGCCAGGAGTAAGCCCTGAGTGCAGCCAGTGTGGCCCTAACAAATACACAAAGCAAAAGTTATGTTATCACCCAGTACACACATATGACTGTACAACAATGTGACAAGCAAATTGACATTTGCCAGACTTCGTAAACTTTTTCTACTCATAATTTCTTCTTATAGGTGAAAATTTTAATGAGCCCATGCGTATAGTTACATAGAATATTTACACAGGGGCCCTAGAGATAGTACAGTGGGTAAGATGCTTGCTTTGCTTGTGGTCAAGATCCCAGGGACCCCATCGAGTCCTCTAAGCACTCTAGGGGTAATCCCTGAATGCAGAGTCAAGAGTAAGCTCAGAGCACAGCGGGTGCAATCCAAAAACCAAAGCAAGAGAAAACAAACAAAAACTATTACGCAAATCAAATATTTACTGATAACAATTCATAAAGAAATTTACTTTGAAACAACTCCCACGTTCAGTTCTGTGATCCCAGCTGGGTCGCAGCTCACCTTAGGAAGTGAGGCTCCATTGGGATGATGACTCAAAGGCCTGGTGCACATGCTTTGCATGAGAGGAGGCTAGGATTTGGTCCCTGGCACCACATGGTCTCCCGAGCACTGCTAGGAGTGACTCCTGAAGAACTTTCTGAGAGGAGCCAAGCAGGATATGACCCCAGAATTAGCAGGAGGCAGGTTCTGTACAATACATGAGGATTTGTTTTATTCTTCCCCATACTGAGCTGATTGAAGATTCTAGTCACGACCCACTAAACTGGGTGCACAGTTGGCTGACAAATTGGGACCTGCAATTTGGAAACCTCTGAGTGACCATCGTGGTCACTGTGCTTGGAATCAGGAGGGAGCTCTCTGGAGAGCAGTTGTCATTTCGTAGACAGGAATGCTCACCCCCTGCTGCAGCCGGGCTCGAGTTCATGGGTGACTCATGGTGGGGAGGGGTGACCTTCGCTGCATGGGCTCACTGTTCTTGACTCTCCTCTCCCTGGGGCACATCAAGAAAATGGCACTGGGGGGTTTGGGGAGCTTCTGAGGGGTAAGATTCTACCTCCGCACATGAGCTTCCTCTTCTTTGAGACTATTTTGTCCAAGTTGTTTTTTGACTCAGAAATTTCCAGGTGAATTTTGGAAAATTGTTTGATTAGGGATCACATCCAGCAATGCTTAGGGCTGACTCCTGGCTCTGCACTCAGGAATAACTCCTGGTGGTGCTCGGGGGACCATATGGGATGCCAGGGATCAAACCCCAGTAAGCCAAGAGCAAGGTAAGCCCCTGACCCACGGTATCACCCTGGCCCCCGTATTTTTGAAGGGTGAACAAGAGCACCTTTCTTTTTTGCTCCTGTGAATGCCTGGGTATTGCTGTGTTGGCTTCTGTCCACTACAGACACTGGTTCTCCGCCAGCCTAAGGGTCTTCAGGCATCAAAGGCTTCAAATAACTTTCCAACTCGTAAGACATTCTTTTTTCTCTCCTCCGCCCTGATCCTTGTCAGGCCAGTCATTCTCCATCAGGGTCCCCATCTCCAGCCCAGGAAGAAGTGTGGGTGGAGTCATCTGTGCTTCTCAGAGGTTGGGGTTTGTCAGCTCTGGGTTATAGACACAGTGTGTGTAGGTGTGTGCAGTTTGCTCTGGGGCCTAAATGCTGGCATCGCCCCAGATTCCTAGGTGGGGCCTTTGGGAGGTGACTTGACGGAGCCTTTATGAAGGGGGGGTTGTCCTAATGACAGAGGCTTGGATAGAAACCATGTGCCTTTGGCACAGGAAGATGCAGCTGGCAACCAGCCATATGCAGCCTGGACAGGCCTTCTCTAAAACCCAGCGCCTCATCTGAGATCGCAGGAAATAGATAAACTGTAAGAAAAAGGTGCTTCTTTGTGTACCATCCTGGCTGTGTTATGGTATTTGGCTGTGGCAGTTGCGAATGACTAAGAGAAATTGTGTGTGTGTGTGTGTGTGTGTGTGTGTGTGTGTGTGTGTGTATCCCTACCTCTGTTTACTTCATGTCTCCATAAACTTGCCAATTCCAAGTTCCTTGTCTAGGTGGAATTGACAGTATTTGTCTTTCTGTGTCTGCCATATTTTGCTAACACATGAGCTTCCGCTTTCCCCCAAGTTGTAACATGCATCGCAAACTCATTTCTTTTTAAAGCTGACCAATATTCTGTGCTTACTTGCAGCAGTGTTTTCTAAAGAGAAGCACATTTATAACACAAATCTGTTGTATTTTTTCTGTATAGTTCTGGAAAGTAGTGCAGAAGGCATAAGTAGTAATAATAAGCAGACTAAATGCACCATACATTTTTTTTAATGCACTTAAAGTTTCAGGGGTGAACAGCACTGTTTTGTTTAAATAAGCATTTGTGAAAGGCGGGGAGGAGCTAGGTACGAACCCTGAGTTTCCCACCAGTTTGTGCGGATGGCACCAAGGCAGACCCAGTTCATTGCAGAGAAATGGGGTTGGCGCCTCCAGGGAGGCACAGGCAAAGCCCTCAGGCCGTGGGAGGTGTGACCACACCCCAAACCCGGCTGGGAGCCTTGGAGGCTGTGGGGTTCAGCCCCTGGGGAGAGAGGAGGCGGTTGTGATGATAAATTCCTAGCTCTGCTCTTTCTTCGCTGAACCCACCCAACTTGTATTTTTCCATGTCTTGAGCCTGTCCTGAGGGTTTGGCATTTCTCTGGTTGATGTTACTCACAGTCATGAAACTGTCTTTTGTTTGGTTTTTTTGTGTTTTGTTTTAGAGCCACACCCGGCAGAGCCCAGGGCTGACTCCCGGCTCAGTGCTAGAGGGGACCTCTCCCAGTGGTTGTGGGTGATGGGGGATGCTACTGTGCTGGGAATCACACCATAGCTCCTGGACACTTGCACTGACCTTTTCAGCTATTGCCCTGGCCTACAGGGTGTGTGTGTGTGTGTGTGTGTGTGTGTGTGTGTGTGTGTGTGTGTGATCATTGAGGGAATTTTCAAAAATGACTTAAAATATTTTTATGAGGCAATATATTATTTACATGAGAATGAGGGATGACAGACAGACAGACTGAGAGAGGGAGAGAGAGAGTGAGAAACAGAGCAAGAAAAGGTCCAAAGTAAAGGAGTGATGATGAAATGCCCCGAAGTGGGAGCAAGCAGCCCCAGCAGAGTAGGTGCGCCCTGGATGCACCTGAGTCCTTCACTTTGACTGGCCTTGGAGTCTGGGTTGACCAGTCGCCAACTTGTGTCTTGGATATGCTGGTCTGGTTTTTCATGTGTGAGAGCCAACCCCCTGTGTCAACCTTCTGGAGCAGTTGCTTCTCTCTGGGTGGTCTGGGGCATAGTGCTCAGCCTCTACCGCCCACTGGCTAGCTGTAGACTTGACCTCACACTGCCCAGGGGCAGCACATAGTACCTGGGAGAGTGAGCAGTCCCAGTGTACCCTGTGCTGTGCAACTCTGGGGAATCCTTCCACCCTTCTGATCCGTATGAGTAATCTGAACGAATCTGGAGGCATCTGTGGTCTTTGCCAGCACTGCAGTTTTATGAGTGCCCGTATTATGATTTAATCACTTCCCTTCAAGCACCCCTGGAATTAATGACTCAGCTCATGAAGATGACTTGGGGCCTCCCAAAGCAAGTGTGTGTCCAGAGTCAACTGCTCTGACAGTTCTGTGGGTTTGGGGTTTTGACTTTTTCTTTTCTTTCTTTTCCTTTTCAGTGTTTGGGCCCCACTCAGCGGTGGTTAGGGCTTACTCTTAACTTTGTGCTCAGGGATCACTCCTGGTGGTGCTCAGGAGGCCAAATAGGATGCAGGAAATTGAACCCAGGTTGGCCATGCAATGCAAGAGCCCTGTCCACTGCTCTTTCTCCAGTCCCTGACCTGACAGTTTTGGTCCAGCTGGAGTTTGGCTGCAACTCACTGGATTTCTTTACGCTGTGTTCTTTCAGGAAAGCAGCTCAGGCACTGGTGAGTGGCGGCACCCTAGGCCATGTCAGAACTGTGAGCGAGCTCTGGGCAATTCTCAGCCACCAGCCAGTCCTGCCAACAATCCTGACCCGGCTTCACTGCTTCAGGATGCTGAGCCTGAGGTTGCCCAGGCTGCTACGGGTCGACCAGATGCCCCAGGTACGTGCTTCGCCCTGGGGTTGGGATCTGGGAATTCTGGAAGACTCTGTTTTCTCACATCAGGTTACAGCTTCACTTCTCTGATCTGGTTCTCCTCTTCCCCTCTGCCATGGGCTCACTTTGGGGCTGCCTTCTCTCTCCCAGACTCCCCATTCCCCTCTAAGCTGCCCGCTGCTACCTCGAAGACCCCTCTCCCTTGCTGTGCCACAAAAGTATGTGCTTTCCAGAGAACCACACCCAGCTGTGTGTGAGTTTCCCAAGTGAGCAACACTAGGTCAGTATGGCTCACATCCACCCAGACCCTCCCAGAGTGGGTGCCTGGATTCCCAGCATCAGACTCACCTGGGAACTTATTTAAATACATTAGGAATCATGATTACAGACATCTTCGTGTTGTTCTTGATTTTAATCAAAAGGAGTGCTTTCTACATTTCGTCATTTAATATAATGATAGCCCTTTCTCTATATGGGTGTGTGCAAACAATGGGATGAGAGCTATAAATTTATCCTGACTTTCCAGGATGTATCCCAGTAAACCAGAATAATTTGTTGGGTTTTTTTTTTTTGGTCAGTGTATCTTTTGAGATGGTCATATATGACTCAACTTAAGTTGTTAGTCTGATGAATTCATTGGTGAATTCAATTAAATTTTTAATCTGATTGAATTCATTGCTATTCTTTTATTTTGTTTATGGGCCATAGCCAACAATGCTCAGGGGTTAATTCTGGCCCTGCAGTCAGGAATTAGTCCTGGTGGGCCTTGGGGGACCATATGGGGTCCTGGGAATTGAACCAGGTCAACCATATGCGAGACAAGACACCTACCTATTGTACACTTTTCTAGTTACACGCTTTTCTAATGACTCCTACCCTTGAACTCATTGCTATTGTTAAACTAAATTTACATTTAAATTCAATGTGGCAATGTTGTAATATCTGTTTAATCTATGGCTGGAATTGGCTCACATTTTTCCCTTGTGGAGGTGTGGAGTTGGGGTTGGGGAGTAGAGGGTAGGGAGGCAGTTGGGGCCACTCTTTGCTGTGCTCAGAACTTATTCCTGGTTCTGCACTCTGGGCTCACACCTGCTAAAGCTAGGGGGAACGTATACAAGTGTCAGGGATCGAACCAAGGTTGGCTGTGTGCAAGGAAAGTGTCTTATGGCCGGTGCTATCTCTCCAGCCTTGACTCAGATCTCATTCTGTGTGGAGTCCTTAGATCAACTTAATTAATTGACCTCTCATTTTTCTTCTAATGCTGTCTTTGGGATTAGGATAATACCAGCCACAATTGAGTTAGTGTTTTTCACTTCTTCTGTGGAAAATCTGTGTAATATTAGAATTAACTCTGCATTCCTGAGTAGTTGGTAAAATGAACTGTGTATAACACCTATTCCAAGGCAGCAGCTTTAGTCGACTCTTGGGGTTGTTCAGGAAACAGTTTTGTCTTGTGGATTTGATTTTCTTTCTTGTCAAGACACTGTTTTAACAACAGCTTTATTGAAATGTAATTCACATTCTATAAACTTCAGTCTTGAAAAAGATACAGTTCTGGGCTGGAGCAATAGCACAGCAGGTAGGGCATTGGCCTTGCATGGGGCCCAACCCGGGTTCGATTCCCAGCCTCCCATATGGTCTCCGAGCACCGCCAGGAGGAGTTCCTGAGTGCAAAGCCAGGAGTAACCCCTGAGCATCACTGGGTGTGACCCAAAAAGGTAAAGGTAAGGTAAGGTAAAGGCCCTCCCGTTGATCGTCGATTTGCTCGAGTGGGCCCAGTAACGTCTCCGTTGGAGACTTTGTTGTTACTGTGTCTGGCATATCGAATACTCTCGGTAGCTTGCCGGGCTCTCCGAGAGGGGCGGAGGAATCGAACTCGGGTCAGCCATGTTGGCCGCTTGTAAGGCGACCGCCCTACCCGCTGTGCTATCGCCAAAAAGAAAAAAGAAAAAAAAAAGATACAGTTCTAGGGCTAGAATGATCAGAACTAATGGGTAGGGCATTTGCCTTGCATGCAGCTGACCCCAGCATCTCAAATGGTCCCCTGAACCTTGCCCTGAGCATTGCAGGCATGATCCCAAAACCACAAAACCAAACAAAATAAGTAGAAAGACACAGTTTTGGGGCTGGAGAGATAGCACAGTGGGTAGTGTGCTTGTCTTGACACAGAATATCACCACTGCTTATCATTTCCCAGAACTGCCAGGAGTGAACCCTGAGCATCCCCAGGTGTGGCTCCCAACACCTCCCACCAAATAATAATAATACTAGAAATACTTATTGAAATGTTGCTGTGTCACACATTTTTTCTAAGCACTTGACTCATAGTTTGTCCCCATCCATCATACAGATAAAGAAACTGAGGCACCAGGCTTGCATCTGCTGCAGAGAGCAGAGTCTGGATTGAAAATATCTAACAAGTGTCTGAACCCAGGCACCCGATTTTTAACCTGCACTTTTAACCAATCATACCATAAAAAAAACTTATTTTAAATGGACATATCATTACTTTACAATATTCTGAATTTTCAGGAGTTTTGCTTCAAATCTCTTATGTGTACAGCGTTCTTCATTCCCCCCATCAAACGTTCCTCCCACCTCCTTCCTACCCCTCTGGCCCCCCCCTGTTTTCACCAGTCAGAATTGATTTTGTTGTTTGTTTCTGGTTGGCTTGCTTTCATCGTTCATGTACTACATGCGGATGGAACAATTGATTGTCTTTCACTTCCTTATTTCTCTTTGCTCAGTCACCTCCAGAATGATATGTTTTGTCCCAAATGTTATGAGTTCAATTTTTTTTATAATGGTCCAATAATAATTTATTGGTGATCGATCCCTCTTTGTCTTTGAGACTCCTCAGCCAATGGGCAGTAAGGTTGATTGTATGTTGACTGTTGTGAGTAACGTTGCTGTGGGCAGAAAAAGGTGCAAATATCCTTTCGACTCAGCATTTTCATGCCCTTTGGATAAATGCCCAGGTTCTGCATTTATCCAAAGGGCATGAAAATTCTGCATTATTACTGCAATATGTGGTATTTCCAATTTTAGTTTGTGAGAACACTCCCTGCCATTTTCCATAAAGACTACAGTCCTTTACATCCTCACCACCAGGAACCAAGCTCTCTCCACACCTCAGCACACTTGCTGCAAATCTGTTTCACAGAGACGATCCCCCATGGTGTGAGGGGTGAGCTCAGTGTGCTCCCAACTTGCCTTTCTGTAAGAAGTGATGCTGAGCACTGTTTCATGTGTCTGTGTTTGTGGACCATCTGTAGGTCTCTTGGAAAAGTGTCTTTTTTTTTTTCAATTGGGTTGGCTTTTTTTTTAAGTCCTTGTGTTGTATGAGTTCATTGTTGATTTGTGGATATTAAGATATTAATGATGTCTGCTGTGCAAATACCTTTTCCCAGTTGCTGAATTATCTTTTGTGTTTTCACAGTTTTTTTGTTTGTTTGTTTTGCTCTGTGAACGTGTTTCAACTTTAGAGCTAGTGAGATAGTAAAATGGGTAAGGGGGTTGCTTGCATACAGCTAACTCAGGTTCAATCCCTGGCACCCATATGGTCCCCCAAGCACCACCAGGAGTGACCTATAAGCACAGAGCCAGCAGTAAGCCCTGAGTGCAGCCAGGTTTGGCCCAAATCACACCTCCCATAAAAGAAGTGTCTTAACTTTTTCATTCATTTTGTCTTTTTTTTTTTTTTTTTGCTTTTTTGGGTCACACCCGGCAATGCACAGGGGTTACTCCTGGCTCATGCACTCAGGAATTACTTCTGGTGGTGCTTGGGGGACCATATGGGATGCTGGGAATTGAACCCGGGTCGGCCACGTACAAGGCCAACGCCCTTCCCGCTGTGCTATCGCTCCAGTCCCCCGCCCCCCATTTTGTCTTTTTTTAAAAAATCATTGAAAAGAAGAAGAATGTGGACTCATGGGAGCTCTCTGTGTTATGCATTTGATAGCTAATATCTGTGGTATTTTTATTATTTTCTTTCTACTTTGAGTTAATCTTGTTATTTCTGCTCTAATTTCTTAAGTCAATCACCTTGGAAACAAATATATAGATAGAGTATTGCCTTAACTGTAGCCCTTACTTTCCGTTCTAATCAGTTTCTAATTTCCATTTTCCTATGTGACTTGTGACATGCATATGTGAGCATGTGTGTAAAATCTTCCAATATATGGAGTTATCTGTTATTGAATTAATTTAATTGATTGTGGTCTAAGAATGTCCTCTATATACTCCAGTCTTTGAAATTTGTTTAGACAAGCTTTATGGCCTCACTTGTGATCAGTTTTTACAAATTTCCGAAGTATACTGAAAATAGTATCCATTTACTGGGAGCCGTATTCTACATAAGTCGCATAAGATCAAAGGCTTGTGGTTTTGAAATTTTCCACTATGGGGTCGGAGAGATAGTACAGGGGTAAAGCACTTGCCTTGAACGGCTGACCCCTGTTCCAAATATGGTCTCAAAACATGTACCAGATATGGTCTCCCAAGCCCCTACAGGAGTGAGCCCTGAACACAGAGCCAGGAGTAATTCCTGAGTATAGGGCACTGCCCCCCAAAACAAAACAACACAAAACAAAATTACTCTACTTCCCTCTCCTAATGAATATGTTTTCTATTCATAATTTGCTGGCTACTCTAGCTATTTTAACGTGAGTGAAAGCTGTAGAAACAGCTGGACTAAGCTGAGTCGATTTTCACATTTATTTATTTATTGCTTTTTTGGGGTCACACCCAGCGATACTCAAGGGTTTCTCCTGGCTCTGCATTCAGGAAGAACTCATGAATGAGCATGCTTGTGGGACCACATCGGTTGCTGGGGATCAAGCCCTGGTCTGCTGCACGCAAGGTAAATGCCCTGCCTGCAGTACTGTCGCTCCGGCCCATGAGTCCCTTTTTCAAAAGTCACTTCAGAGGGCCAAGAATGTGGCCCATGTTGTAATGCACATGCCTTGTGTGTGTGGTCCTGTGTAGCAAACACCCCAGCACCACAA